CTCAAAACATTATAAAAATTTCACACTGCAAATGAATACAAAACAAAATATTTGCAACTAAAAAGCGTGAAATCAGATAAGCAAAGTACAATATCAGATAAGAAAATTTAAAATGTGTAAAACGTGAAGCAAAAATTGGAAATGATTTTGTGAATGTAAGAGTTTTGGTAAGTGTTTTTCCAATTTTTTATGTTTGATTGGAAATGATTTTGGTAAATGAACGAGTTTCAGTAAGTGTTTTTTCAATTTTTAAGTTTGATTTATGTTTTACACATTTTAATTTTTCTTATCTGATATTGTACTTTGCTTATCTGATTTCACACTTTGTAATTGATTGAAATTGGGGATCAATTTATTTTACGTTTACTTTTCAGTAAAAAGTCTAGGTGATTCAGAAATCATTCTTTTCAGACATAATTTAGTGAAACGATTAATGGAAGAAAGCATGATAAACAATGCAGAAAATCAATCCAAATTAACTAACCAATAATAAAGCTCAAAACATTAGAAAAATTTCACACTGAAAATGAATACAAAACAAAATATTATCAGATAAGAAAATTTAAAATGTGTAAAACGTGAAGAAAACTTAAAAAATTGGAAATGATTTTGTGAATGTAAGAGTTTCGGTAAGTGTTTTTTCAATTTTTAAGTTTGATTTTGATTTATGTTTTACACATTTTAATTTTTCTTATCTGATATTGTACTTTGCTTATCTGATTTCACACTTTGTAATTGATTGAAATTGGGGATCAATTTATTTTACGTTTACTTTTCAGTAAAAAGTCTAGGTGATTCAGAAATCGTTCTTTTCAGGCATAATTTAGTGAAACGATTAATGGATGAAAGCATGATAAACAATGCAGAAAATCAATCCAAATCAACTAACCAATAATAAAGCTCAAAACATTAGAAAAATTTCACACTGAAAATGAATAGAAAACAAAATATTTGCAACTTAAAAGCGTGAAATCAGATAAGCAAAGTACAATATCAGATAAGAAAATGTAAAATGTGTAAAACGTGAAGAAAACTTAAAATATTGGAAATGATTTTGTGAATGTAAGAGTTTCGGTAAGTGTTTTTTCAATTTTTAAGTTTGATTTATGTTTTACACATTGTACTTTGCTTATCTGATTTCACACTTTGTAATTGCAAATATTTTGTTTTGTATTCATTTCCAGCGTGAAATTTTTCTAATGTTTTGAGTTTTATTATTGGTTAGTTGATTTGGTTTGATTTTCTGCATTGTTTATCATGCTTTCATCCATTAACCGTTTCACTAAATTATGACAGAAATTTCTGAATCACCTTGACCTTTTTTACTAAAGTATAAACGTAAAAAAAATTTATCCCCAGTTTCATTCAAAACAAGTCTAATCAAAAGTCTTCCAATCACATTTAAAAAATTATCTTAAACTGCAAGCTTGCCTTGCTTCGGCCCATCATTAGGGATATATGTCAATCCCTGGGTGTTCGTCCTCAGAATTGAGGTGGAACTGCACAGTTAGTGCAGCAGGGCTATATGACCAATGGTGAAATTCTTCACATTCACTTCTACCTGTACATCTACTAAGCTGTTTAGTTAGCCCTCATGTATTTGCTGTAATTGATTAAATACAGAAAAATTGAGAAATATAGATTTAATTTTAATTTTTGACACATACAATTTTTCCATGCACAGCACAGGGCTTAAAAAAATAAGTTAAATAAAACATTAAATATTACATGCATTAGTAAAAGAAACAAGAACAAAGAACAGAGGTCTATACTTCGCAAAAATAGGTAAATTCACTGTCACATCAAGCTGTTTTAAATCATTCTGCAGACATAATCTAAGGCAGTTGAAGGTAGGACAGGAAACAAGTAAATGTTTCTCATGTTAGTGCTTTTTTCGAACATTTGTGATAAGTTACTTGATCTTAGATTGAAACAAAACAGGTAACTTCCAAATTTACAATGTCCACATAAAAACTGAGTTAAGAAGAAAGACTCAGAATGCAGTCTATGGTTAATAGAAGGAAAGAACTTTCTGGCTTTCTGGTGCACCGAGCATTACAAGATGATATAAATATATACTTCATTCTGCTTAGGATACAAGTTTCGTATAATAAAAGGACTTCCAGTAACTTTTAGGAATGCTAATATGGATGGGTACATTTTAAGCTAAAAGATTAGTTCTTCCATTTCTGTAGGTTCCATGATAATCACACAAATAAGCAAAACGAATATCAATTTCTCTGTTTGTAAGTGAACTAGCAGGAAAAAGAGTTTCAATTACTAGTTTGTTCCTGCACGTAATATTTTCAAAAGCTAGAGAGAAGAAAGGAGGATACAGCCCCATTATCCTTGATCCACTTGATGACAAAGTTAAATACCAAGAAGTTCTGCTTGAAAAACTGGGCATTCGTTTCAAATATGGTGCTTAAAATAGCAAACCTCAGATTGATTTTCAGAAGTAATAAGTGCTAGACTGACCTTATTGTTCATTTTACTGCCATCTGTAAAACAAAACATATAAAAGCACTTTCAGTATGTAAGGTGTATTTTAGTTTTATAACAGTTATTTTAATTTTGAAACCCTTTCCTTTCAATTCCTTTTTCCACTTACAACTCCCTACCAGAATGAGTTTTTAGAATTGTGTTGGATGTAAATGGAGTTAGAAGAAGTATAAGGAAGGTTCAACTAACTACGATAGAGATTGCTAGGAGTCCTTAGTGGCACATGTTTGCTTTCTGACTTCTGTTACGCTCGGTCGTGTTATACGTGCCAATTAATATTCGTTGGATAGTTTAATTTAGAGCCCAACTATGTTAGATAATTGCGTCAAGCTTCAGCTAAGTCTTGTTTAAGTAATTATAGTTTAGTTTCTCATTCTGTGTTAAAGCCTGAGTAGAGGCTTCCCTGTAAGCCCGAGAAGGGGCTGACTGTTATTCGTATTTGAGTGAATAAAAGGTGAATTTAACCCTTCTCGAGCCTATGCCTTAATTGTTTGAACTCAGCGACAAGTCGCTGTGTAGTTCACTAGGTTCCTCGATGTTTCATCTTAGACAAGGATTTAGAAACCTTACAAGTAGTCTCTTTGTAATTGCAGAAATTTATAGGCTGTAAAATAGCTAAACGGAATATCGGGAAGGGTACATTTCCGTTAATCATCCAATGTGTTATACAAGATCCCAACCTTGAATGTGTGGCAATGAACCCAAGCTACAAAGTGTAAGGTCAGTATAACTCGAGCCATGCATAGAACTGAAAGTAGATCTGCGATTTTCACTAATTAGAAACAAATGATTCGCATTCGTAATATCTCCAAGCTTTGTTCCTCTACCATTAGTAATAGGAAGATGTCAAACCCCTGATTTGCGATTCGAATCTATAGTTTTATTATGATTACGAATAGATAATAACAGCAGAGTTTACAACTTCTGCTTCAGAATCTGGTTCAGGCAAGAATCAGTAAACTGTATGTTTACTATGATTAGAAAGCCAGGAACAATACTTTTATAAAAGTATGGTTCCTGAATTCAATGATTTATCATTGTCATTTGTATCCAAGTAAAAAATTAGTTGCTGAGTGGTTCATTTTGGCTTGTGTAAATTAATTTTTACTAAAGGAATTGGTGAATTGATGGACTTAATCCATACTAAATTTTGAAGCCACAAGATTCATCATAAAAATATGACGAGCAAGTTCCAGAAACGGCTGATTTACATCAACTTTCTTAGTCGCATTTTAGGTTTTTCTATTGAATCTTATGCAGTTAACACACATTTTCACTTCATTTTTTTTAATCCCATTTTGAGCTCTAATGCTGAAAGCAACAATAACAAGCCAAGGAATTTCTGCAATCAAGACTTCTGTGATAGCCTAAGCATTTAAAACACATATTTAAAGCAACAAAATCTTCAACTTTACACATATGCCACATCACTTTAATACACCCAAAATTTAATATACACTTGTGCACAGCAGGATGAACTTCAATAACTACACCTCTTTCATGTTGAAACTTTTAGTAAAGCAAACTTTAATGTCTTTCCAATATTCTTCAGACATAGTAATTTCACGAATATATTCTTCAATAGTTTTTTGGAAGTTCATCATCAGTAATGCTATTTGGCATATTTTTAAGTAAGGTTATAGGATATTTTCACTTTGTAATAGAGGGATTCAAAATTGTGACTGCATTGTTAGTTGAATCTTCCTGCAAAGTGGAAAACAGTTTTTCTTTGCTTATATGCCAAAATGCATTTTACCATTACTTTATTGTTATTAATAATTCTAATATAGCCAATCCTAATTTTATGTTTTCAAGGATCGCTTTCATCTTTAAGAAACTTTTTAACCTAATGAGATATGCAGTTTTGTGTGCCTACAATAATACAGCAGTCTGAATCAATCTGATTTGGTGCAACAGATGGCATTAGCATAAGATTTTGTTTGTGTGACAGAATTCAGTAAGCTTTCTGTACAAGCTTCATGGAAATTCAAATATTTAGCATGCTCAACATGTCATGTAATCAAAATTTTAATCTCTCCAAAAAGTTTCTCGGCTTCATCACAAATTTGATCCCTGGTGCATTTGGATTCAGTAGCTGATTCTAATTTCTGAATTTCATTGACCAGAGCTGTATAGAACTCATTATCACCACAATCCACCCTTTTCAAATACAGATTTGTACCAAATACACGAAAGGGAATATAACCTTTGACGTATTCCTCTCAGTATCTTTCCATCTTGACTGTTATAACTTTCATTTCCTAATGTAGGATGAGGATGATTTGTTTTACAGATATAATGCCTTTTAAATCAAATGTTAAACTGAAGTTTTCTGTTATAAGATTTAAATACTTAACTACTCTGTTTTGTTACAAGATTTAAACACTAAAAGGAATGGCAGGAATTAATTGTAAAATATTCCACATGTAAAACTATTTTAAATTCCTTTTTTATTATTCTTAGTTGCTATATTTGTGTCAACTTGTAAACTTTTCCAGAACTGTATGTGAAAGTCTACCATCATGCCAAAACACAAGCTTGAAGAAAGTTCGTCCAATGAAACTAGTGGGGCATATTCCGAGGATTGCTGCCTAGACAGTTTGCCGAGTAGTAGTGATGTGGATAGAGATGACACTAGCAACAGTAGCAGTAAATCTGAACTTAGTTCTGAAGTTCCTATTACAAGCATAAATCATACAGCTGAGGAAACATCTGACATTGAGGAACCACCCAAGAAACGAACAAAAAAGAAAAATGTTTGTTTTACAAATGTGACGGTGTACTACTTTCCAAGAACTCAAGGATTTACGTGTGTTCCAAGTCAAGGAGGATCTACTCTCGGTAATTTATTCATTTTTATTTCTATGAGAATATTATTCAACTATTATTTTTGTTCTAAGTAAAGGAAGGCTGGTTTAAAAAACGTTCAAAATTTTATAAACTAGTTCCTTGATAATATTTTGAATTATATTTAAGGGCAGTTACAGTATAGCAATTAATTTGATTATAGACAATATTATGGTAAAGAAAAAAATAATTTTTTGTGAGCATTTCTATGGAGAGATGCAATAAATGGGCCTTTGAATGAGAAATTTAACTTTTTATTTGTATTAAATTCTTTTTTGTCTTGTAAACATTGTAGAGATATTAGATATGAGCAGCGACCTCGCCGGGAATCGAACCAAGGACCTCTGGAATACACGCCCAGTATGCAGACCACCACACCATGAAGGCTTGCTAAGAAGGCAGGAGAAATACCTTATATTTTCCTTTTAAAGGGTGACTGGAGTTTTTAGGGGACCGAATCTCCAAATCCTGGGTGTGGAGAATCATCATCCACCACCCCTTTAGTTCGGGCGCCACTGTAGAGACATTAGGTATATTTTTGGAAGCAAGAGAGATGAAAAATGAGCAATGCACTCACTGGGAATTGAACCGTGGACCTCTGGAATACATGCCTAGCATGCAGATCACCACATTAAGAAGGCGGGAGAAATACCTTATAACGTGTTACACATTAAGTGAATATTTAATGAAGCTTCTTTATGTATGTTAGTATTAGAATAAAAGAGTAATTAAACCAAGGTAATGTTGTAGAAGGTAAATTGTTGTAGAATAGCTTATTGTAGTATATAAGAAGGTCTTGTATGTAATGGTGGTCTGTGTAAACTTTATTATGTAACACTCACTCCTTACATTTTTTCATAGAAATAATTTAGATACTAACTTAATGTATGTTTGGATGCTTAGTTATTCAAGGCTTTTCAGTGTAATGGCTGCTGAGAATATGTATTTTTTAGAAGATGGCTCTGATATTTGAACAGTTTATCACCAAAAAAGAACCTATCCAATAGAGCCTCAGGTGAATTCAGCTTGCCTCAGATTCCACTTAACCAAACCCACTAATTTTTTAGTTCTCTTGAAAATCGAGGGGAAAAATTTAGTATGAAATGAAAAGTGCCTCAAGGATTATGATAACATCATCAGGGCTATCCTGGAATATCTGAATAACTAAGGATAGATTATGAGTGTTTATCAATGAGTTCATCATCAAGACCATGGGCATTTATGTTGAAAAGTAATGAATCCAGGACAAAGTCCAAAATCTGGATGTCCAATAACTGGAGTGATTTATTATCTGGAATTCCCAAAGTTAAAAACAAATCTTTCCTTTTGAATCATCCTGCATGTTGTTTTGGCTATAAGCTCTTGCAGGCCAGTGAATCACATTTCCCAGGATTTATATGGTCCTTAAAATGTTTGGATTTTTTCAAAACGATTTTTATGCTTCAAAATCTCTTATTTTGACCAAAATTTGCGAAGGTTAGGTTATTTAATTACGGCAAAGCCTCGGGGGCTATCTGCCTAAGGGGAGGGATGCCTTCAAGGAGGACTTTCTTAGGGGAACTGGCTCCTATACACGTTACACATGGGGAAAACCATGAAAACACACCACCCCATTCACGGGATTCGAACCTCGGACCGAACTACCAGTGTTCAGCAACTGTACCGCTCAGCCGTTGGTGGGCCTTAAATTTGCGAAGAGTCATTAATTTTGTTCATCTGACATTTCCATTCTTAATCTGTGACTGCCATTCCAAATGTGAATTAACATTTAGAATAAATATAAGATTCAAACCACGTTACTTTACCATCATGAGCAGAACCATTACAAACTTAACATTTTAAGCAATGAAAAATATCAGAAGGAAATTTTTGAGAGTCCTGATTCACACAGTGTTTCAAAACAGATGTTATCCACAAAATATTGTGTATCTGCAGTGAACAAATGTCTTGGTTTGACCTTGCTTTTATGTCCATGCTTTAACTTACTGTGATGAAAATGCCTCAGTGTCATTTACTGTGATAAAAATGCTTCAGTGCCTCAATCAATGCCTTAGTGTATGCGCAGTACACCACAACTGTCGAGAAATGGGGCTAAATTTGAAAGTGGAGAGTTTTTAGGAATCGACTTACCATTTTTAATGTTTTGTAATTCTAAGTTGAACTCAATGTTTTGCTCATGTTTTATCCAGTCTATTTCAGCATTTTGAAGTTCTTCTGCTGTGAGGGGACCTGCAATCGTTTGTCGTTTTTGAAGTTTATTAACAAACCGTTTAACTAGTGCAGTTACTCTTAGTACTTTTAACAAACAACTATATTTCCTTAAATCTAAAATAAATTTCGAATTTTCTACCAAACAGTTATTTTGCACTGTACTTTCAAATTCTTTTTTTTAGCTCTAAGTCTACGTCTGTAAATTTTCTCTCTTTCAGTAGGCCAGTATTCAGGTGATTGGCTTAGCCACGGTGGACCGTGCCACCAATGCTGGTTTGTAGCTAAATTTGCTGCAGAAATTCCTCTGGACAAAATATCTGCAGGGTTAATGAGCCCAATTATTGGTATCTGATAAAGATTGAATTTCTTCTATTCTATTTTTTACGAAAGTTTTGTATTTACTAGCTTGTCCCTTAATCCAACATAATGTAATCATCGAGTCGGTCCAAAAATAACTAGAAGTATTAAATTTAAGACATTTACTTACTTGATGGACTAATCTTGCGGACAATAAAGCTCCCATTAATTCCAGTCTTGGTAATGTAAGACCTTTCAGAGGAGCTACACGACTTTTAGAACAAATAAAACTGATACTTATCCTCCCATCTTCAGATATAGCTCTTAAATACAACACAGTTCCATAGGCTAAAAGAGATGAATCTGAAAAAGAATGAATTTCAAATGAAATAAATTTACAGTTCAAATTTGAAAAATAACATCTAGGAATCTGGAGATCTTCTAAGTGTTCGACTTCACTGCACCACAACTGCCACTTGTGATCCAGTGACGATGGAAGTTTGTCATCCCAGTCCGTTTGTCATCCAGTGACTCCACAGTTCTTGTAGAATACACTTCAGCTTTATGATGAAAGGTCCAAGAAATCCGATAGGATCATAATACGACCCACTACTCGAAGAATAAACCTTTTCGAAGCAGTTCCGTTCTTGACAAACTTTGATAATTCTTTTCACGTTAAAAGATATACTGTCCGCATCTGGATCCCAAACTAGACCCAACACCTTGGATGGTGAGTCAAGTCCCGTACTTGAGCTCTTTTCCTCATCGATGTCGAACTCAGCATCTTTCCACAGCTTACGCAGTTCCATGGAATTGGTTTTCCATTTTCGTAATATCATCATGCCACATCTTTTGAGAATTTCTACACTTTCAGTCGTAATTTTCAAAGCCGCTTGCAAGTCTTCTTCGCCTCCAATCAAATCGTCGACATAAAACCATTCTGACAGTAATTTGCAAGTATCAGGAAATTCTTGTTTACATTTATCAAAATGATATTTCAGAGTTGCAGCTAATAAATATGGACTTGGTTTTAGTCCAAATAAAACTCTACTAAAGTTCATTTCTTGATATGAATTAGAACCGATATCATCAGTCCAGAAGAATCTAGTAAATTTTCTATCACTAGGATCGATCAAAATTTGTAGATACGCTTGCTTTATATCCGCTGTGAAGGCGATTGTATTTTGTCGAAACTTTAAAATCATTTCAAATAGATTTGGATACAAGTTTAGTCCTTTAAATAAACAGTCATTAATTGAAAGTTGTCCTCCTTCATGAGAAGAACCATCAAACACGATTCGAAGTCGACTAGTAGATTTGTCCTCGCGAATGACCGCGTGGTGGGGTAAGTAGAATGACTGCTCAGAATATGACACTTCAATATCTGACGACGAATTCTCAATGATACCTTCCTTACGATAATCATCAATTACCCTTTTATAATCCTCATAAAAAGCTGTATCATTTCTAAATCTCCTAACCAGACCATCGAAACGTTTCCGAGCCACTTCTCTATTATTTGCTAATTTTCTCCTGCATACCTGGTTTCCATGGCAACTTTACACAATACCTTCCATCTACGAACCCAACAGAATTATTAAATTCATCAAGTATCTCCTGTTCCACTAAAGTCAAAGTCAAACACTCCGCTTCCTTGTTTTCAATACCTAAACTTTCCAGTTCCCAGAAACGCCTGAGTTCAGCTGATACACAGTGCTTTGATCACCCAAAACTAAGTTTACAGCAGCCGTTTTACTCATATCACCACAATTTCCCTGCAAGGACCATCCAAGTTCAGTGTTTACAGCTACCAAAGACGTATTTAACCTTTCAAAACCTTTTGTCAAATTCCAATAAAAATCTATACCTATTAACAAGGAAATTTCATTATCATCTGACGCTTGATTATATCCCCACGTTAAAGTTAATCCCTTGGCTTCCATTTCAGCTCTTGTACTCTCATTCGGCAAATTAATCGCCAGCCCTCGAAATTTCATCTGTTTCCAACGCCTGTATTACGACTTCATTTCCATCTAAAATATTTCGCAATCTCACTTCAACTCTGCGACATGTTTGCAACCTAGGATCCTTTGCTCCAAATGAATAAATCTTTAATGTTTCTGACCCTAGACATTTTAATCCCAACTTCATAGATACATTTTTTTTTAATAAAACTCTTCTCACTACCGTTATCAAACATTGCAATAACTGTACCTGACGATTTACGACCAACAATTTCTGTCCTAACACACTGCAATAAAAAATCACATTCCTATCATTTACAACTGAATTCGAAATAGTAGGCTGAATTTCCAATTTCCTTTGGTTTTTCTTCTTCCGGTTTTGAATTAGATTTACACTTGCTAGAATTTTCAAATTTAAAACAAATAGCTTTGGCGTGTCTACCAAAGCAGAATGAACACTGTTTAGCATTACATTTTTTCACAAAACAGTTTGTGTTACAACATAACAGACATCTCCTTTCCTTAATTAATTTATCCCTTTTTTGCTGTACAGTCATGTTTTCACATTCAGTCTTACAGTGACCTTGACCACAGAATAAACAAACTTGGGAAGTTTTCGCCATAAATTCTGTTACTGACGCGTGTTGATTATTGCGACTCGGAGGGAAGTTTCGTTTCTGATTTCGAAAATTGTTTTGTTTGTGTTGGTTAGAATGAAAATTATTATATGAAGATACATTATTAGAATTAATACGGAATGCCTTTTCTCTTGCACTAATAGCATTGTGTAAAAACTTCATCAATTCCTGTAAATCATGACAATTATTTATATTTTGCTTAGAAAATTCAAGAGTCAATTCTCCTGGCAGATTTTTTAGTATTATGTTAGTCAGTATTGTTGTGTATGTTTCCGATTTGACATTTAATTCCTCTAAACATCTAATTTGAGTTTGGGCTTCAAAATAAAGGTTACGAAGAGCCTGAATGTTAGAAGCATTTTTTACAGGTGCCAGATTTAATAAATTTGACAAGTGAGCATTTATTAAAAATCTCTCTTTGGCCAAATGTTTCAGAAATTAATTTAACAGCCTGTTTATAATTCTCTGGAGTAATTGAGAATCCTTTAATGCTAGCTAGGGCTTTACCACCTAATAACGACTTTAAATAGCAAAATTTGTCAACCTCAGTTAAATTAGAATTATTATGCACAGAATTCTCAAACTGATTCCAAAAATCTAAATATTCTGAAGGCTCACCATAGAATCGAGGAAGCGAAAGTTTAGGAAGTTTAGTTCTGTTTTCTAAATGCAAAGTTTTATTTTCTACGTGAACATTTTCTGGATTTACTGTTTGTTCACCTGACTGATATGGAACTTTTCCAATTGATTTAATTTTGTTTTGCAACTTTACTTTAACTGGTATTATTTTTTCGTTATATTCATCTACTGTGTTAATTTCATCCTTAATTTCTTGTTCTTCTTTCAACAATTCATCAATGTCACTATTTAGTATGTTAATAATTTCAATTTTACTATTCAACTGTTCTAAATATGAATCACATACATCTATGTCAATATCTGATTCATTCAAATATTTGTTTATTTTTTCGACTAACTTTAAAGTTTGCTCACGATGTGTGTCACGCTTAGTTCGAAGTTTTAACAATTTAGCCATTTTCACAGTTTCTAGCAACAAATTTTACCCCTCAAATACTTTAACAATAAATTCTAATTCTAGAATTCTAATAAAACAAACTATAATTTTCAACAACAAATCACACTTCAAGCATTAACAACAAATTCTAATTCTGAGAAAACACAACATTTTCTTACTTGCAAATACATTCGAACTTCCAAATATCAATGCAAACATTCAGTAAATGCGAAACTGAAAGTTGTAAATTTTTACCAAACAAGATCAACGACATCAAACAGCTTTACTACTTCAACAATTACAAAATATTCTATTCAAACAAATTTTCAACAAAACTATTTAGTCACCCCACTATTATGATATTTCCTGGTGACAGCACCACATATTACGAAGCGATTAACGATACGAATGCGAAGTTCGAAAGGTGAGTAATTAGCATTAAGAAATTAGCATTTTCCTCTCCGTGCTTAACTTTTGGAAGTGAGTGTATTTTTCATGCTAAAATGCAGGGTCACAAATAAAATATAAAGGTATGAGAAGATATTTGATGGTGAAGGAGAGAGGTGATGCACAAACACAAGAATGGTGCTGAAGATTAGAAAAACGATTTTAATCATAAATAATTACACTTATTTCTCAAAAGAGTTATTGTAACACTCAACTGCGATGAAGGGATTGGTGAATACCAAATGTATAGCATATAGCTGGAGCACCAGTGAGACCTTCTCGCCAGGTTCTGAAAAATGTGATATCCAGATAGTTTGGGGGAAAAAAATAAATAAAAAGGCTCACAAAACATCCAGATAATTCTTTGTGTTGTTGGAAAATGAGCTGTTCCATCATGTTAGAACACACATAATACTGCCATGATTGCTGGAATTCCAGATCCTTAGAATTACATGTTTAATAATAATAATAATAATAAAACTGGAAAAATATGTAACAAGGTACAAAGAAAGAAGCTAGAAATAGGCACTAGTGAAAAATAATATCTTCAAATACTGTCTTTTCTTTTTCTCTCTTTCTTTTCTTCTTTTTTAAATGTTTAATTTCAGGAATAAATATTTTCATTGTTTTCAGAGGTCATTGTATGCTATAGAAAATTCACTTCTAGTCAAGTGTTTCTGTTCATAAATGTAATAATAAAAACTTGAGAGTTTAAAGTCTGCTAACTTGGTCTCAAATTACACTACAAAACAGTAGCTTAATTAGAGGTAGTAGCCTAAAAATCTACATTGTATATTTGTGCAAAATAAATCCATGAGTATTGATAAATATAAGAAATGCTTGGAGGGAATGCGTATAACAATTTACAGAGTTGAATTAAGAACCTTTTTGATTCATTAAAGTCTGCTAACTGGGTCTAAAATTGCACTGCAAAACAGTAGTTTAATTAGGAGCAGTATCCTGAAAATCTACTCTGTGTATTGACATAGGATGAATGCTGAAATACTGATAAATTTAAGAAATGCTAGGAGAAACTGGATATAATAATTTACAAAGAAGAATCAAGGATCTTTTAAATAATTCTGAGGATGTATTTTATGTTTCAGTATGAGTATGTATTGGATGTTACAGTATGAGTACAGAAAATGTATTGAATTTGTTACAGTACGAGCTAGTTAACTTTCATTGTTGTGTGTATGAGAATGTAAATAAAATATATGACATTGCCATGTTAAACAGCTGAAAGTAAGAGTTTTCTCATTCTGTAATCAACAGAATGCATCTGCACAAACTGTAAGCCAAGCTGGAATTATGTACATTCAACTTGTACTGACTATAGATAACTTTGAAGACCATGGATTTCTATTAAAATGTTGCTGCATTTTGATGTGGCATTTGAAATTTGTCAGTAATCTCTAGATTCATTGTATTATATATGTATATTTATATATATATGTGCGAAAGATGCCAAAGGGAGAAAAGGGTACACATATACATTAGATCTATATTATATATAGATAGAAAGTGATGAAAAGAGCTAATGCATGTTATCTTATATGAATGAATGAGATTGTAACTATTAAATTTTATAATTGTTATATATTTTTAAAATGTATGTATATTATTTTAGGTATGGATCAGAAACATAGCCAAATGAAAATGTTTTCACTCCTTGAGCATGCTGAGGAACAAAAGAGGGTTCATCGTGAGCTAATCAATCATCAAAGGAGATTAGCCAAATATCAGTCTTCTACATCTGATTCAGATGATAGTGAAGATATCAGTGATGTTTCAGAGTCAGAACTTGAAGCTGACAGCTGTTACTTTTTGCAGCCAGTTCCTATACGACAGAGAAGAGCTCTTCTTCGTGCATCAGGTGTTCAGAAGATTGATTCTTTGGAAAAAGAAGAATGTCGGGATATAAGGTCATCTCGGGAATTTTGTGGATGTGAATGCAAAATTTATTGTGATCCTGACACATGTACATGTAGTCAAGCTGGCATTAAATGTCAAGTGGATCGCTTTTCTTTTCCATGTGGATGCAGCCGGGATGGATGTGGAAATACCGCTGGACGGATTGAATTCAACCCACTAAGGGTGCGCACTCATTTCATTCATACTCTTATGAGGCTTGAACTAGAAAAGAAACACGAACAGCAGTTGATATGTAAGTCAGAAGCAAGTAACTTTTCTGTTTCTTCTTTGTCAACTTGTGACACATGCAGCTCACTTTCCTCTGCTTCTGCTGCATTTACTTCATGTGTTCCATCCCCATCATATTTATCAATGACATCTACCTCTTCCATAGAAAGTAATAGTTGCATTGTTAACAGTCCATTAAAAGAGCAAGTATCAGCATTTATGGCCATTAGTGAATCTGAAAAGAAAGCTTCAAACGAAATATATGCTTCTCCTTTCAGTCCACAAGAAAGTTCATATTCAGAAAATTCAGACTATTCAAGTGATGATTTAGATTCAGATATGGATCCTTCTTCAAATAATTCATCTCTTCAAAGACCTCTTCAGCCATCTTTGACAGACAGTGTTACACAAACCCATGACTCCACTCCAAAGTTTTTAAACCATTTTAATAAATCTTGTGCTCATAATAGTGATCTAGGAATGAGGTGTTATTATTCTGCGGACAATGCATTTTCATCAATTGTGCAGGAAGATAGTCATTTTTGTAATGGCAGCTCTGAAAATCAGTTTTCTAATGGGAATTCAATCAGTTCATTAGAAAGGAATAGTTTTAGAGATTCACTACCTAGGCAGCAAGATTTTGAGCAGCAGCATGTGCATTCATCTATGAAGGAACGTTCACATGAGTATATCCGTCAGCCTACATCACAGAAACCAGCAGACACTGCAGTGGAGGAAGAGCAGTGTTACACTGACTTGAGTTCTGTCATTCCCGGGACCAAAATGGAACTATTTAATGGGCTCCTGAATTCTAAAGTTCAGGATGTTACTGCCATAAAACCTGTTAACTTAGAATCTGAAAAAGTTTATAGCACTTTAGATACCTGTCCACTTTCATTAGGGAGGGAATCTCAAAAATGCTGCATTTCTCAGCGTATAGAAAATGACAGGAATGATGAACCAGGTGAAAATCTTGGAGAAATTATTAAAAAAACAATTGTTGAAACAGTTTCTGCATGATGGTAAATTACATTAGTTTTTCGACTGTGTATAAGAAATTTTAATTGTTTATTGTTTGCTTAAAACTCTTTGATAGTTATTTAAGGAGCATACAACTTCAAAATTATTATTAATGATTTTTTTTTTAATATCTTTATTCTAAGTAGAAAAAAAAGAAAAAAGTTCAGAAACTATTTTAACTTTTGTATTAAAAATCTATAAGAAAGTAGATATGGAACTAAATAAATTAGTTAAAGTAAGTACACTATAATTTTTTTTTTTTTTTTTTTTTTGTAGTACAAATCTACACCACTGTTATTAAAATATAACTGTTAATATAGTTTTGTTTTTAAATGTTGTGTGCTCTTTTAAATATTGATTTATTAAAAAACAGCAATTTTTCATACTGTTTCATATTATTTACACCTATATATATATAGAAGGGGGTTTAATTCTTTTATATTTTTAAATATTTTCTACACTAGCACAATTATACTTTTTGTTATGTTATTATTTATTTTTCAATATACTTTATTTATGTGAACATTTGTTATTTATTATTTGACTATTAGTTTAAATGTTGATTTGATCGTATTTGTAATATAAAAGACAAAAGTAGCATTTTGTTGCATTTCATTTGAACAAAACTGATTACAATGAAAAATAGAATTGTTGTGAAGATGAGAAAGTGTTGATTTTTTTTACAAGTTACACAGTTTCAGTTTTGATTGAGAACTTTACAGAAGAATTATATTTTATGCTATCTAAAATATATACATACTCTTGTTATACATATGCTGTTGCTTGGACATAATTCTTATTATTTTAAAGTTAAAATTTTAATGCTTTTATTATTTTTAATTTAAACCACGTAAATTTCTTTTATGAAAAGGAGAAAATTCTTTTTCAAGTTAATGATAATAAAAAATGCTTAATTTTTGAAATATAATGATAGAGAAATTTTAAAAATTTATTCCATGGAAACCTTTACATTGTTCATTAAGGCTTAGTGCTTAAGAAGGAAATTATTATGCCAGTATTGGTGTTTGATAAGGAAATTATGATGTCAGGCGAGCATATTTATTTCTTGAGTATTTCTTTATATTTTCTGTTCAGCTTGAAATTGCAGTTGTTTGCTTTCAAACAATTTAGAATATTGTACATATGAATTTTAGTATCATAATGGTTTTCCATGGTGACAATGACATTGTTAACCACAGTTTGAGAAATTAAGTTCCACTCCTTCAGCAATGCAGTCTTTGGGGCATTTACATCTTTAGGAGGAGGATGCCTCTGAGCAGCTGCTTTTCCAAAGTAGTCCTGTAAGTTCTCTACCAGATTAAGAGCAGCAGGAGATTTTGCTGGTCACTGTATTTGGTTATTGTCTTCACATTTAAGCAATTCATCAATGAGATTTACTGCATATGAACAAGCATTATCGTCCATAAATAAAAATCTTATTTAGTCAGATCTATATGCATCTCTGAAAAGTCTTATGTAAGGTTCTAAGACCTTATCCCAATTTCTGTGGCTCATCACAGATCTGCTGCCGAAAACGTGTAGTGGTGTATGCTCATCGATTATTATTCCTTCTCGTATCATCACATCTGAATTACTGAAATGGTCGCATTCCATAATATATGGAAGAAGATTTTTCATTCCTGACTTTCTCCATATGTAAACACATTTAAAATCAGATGTTAAACCTCAACTCATCTGTAAAGAGAATGTGTTCAATTCAGTTTTAGTGTTCTTTGCACTGGCTAAAGTCAGGGATAAATAAAAGGGCTAGGTCATTCCTTTGTTCGACTCCTCGCCGACGCGAGTCTCATAGAGGGGAGGAACCGGAAGTACTGACGTATCTCTGTTGCACCTGCTCTGATTTCGCGCCTTTAAACTGTAGTTTCATTCAGTTGCGAGACGATTTTCTGGAGATCGCATATCCCAAATTAATTTTAATCATACATATTTGGTTTTCTAATAATGCAAATATTTAAAATAATTTGTGTATATATAGTTTTAGTCAGTTTTCCTTTTAAATTCTATATTTTAAAGTATCCTTTATGAAATATGGCTTCTTGTGCTGTAGCAACGTGCCGTAACACTTATAGAAATACGAAAGGAAGAGATATTGTATTTCATGCTTTCCCCAAGGACAATTTGCTTTTGACGAAAGAATGGATACATAAATGTCGAAGACAGGATTCTATTAATGTGAAAAAAGCAAGAATTTGCAGCGAACATTTTTTGTGCAGTGATTATGAAGATGACATGAGAAATCGCTTGCTTGGATTGCCGCAAAAGAAACTGTTCAAATGCAATGCTGTGCCGAAAGTAAATTTATCGTGTGCAGTAAACAAAATAACACCAAGAAATCGGAGACATTTGAAAAACTAATGCAGAGTGCTTTTGAAAGACTACATGAATTAAGCCCAAAGAAAATTTATTTTGAGGCCGAGAACGAAATTGAAGCTGACAATAATAAATCAAATGTGAATGATTTTGAAATAAAACTCACAAGTGACAATGCCCTATGTGACAATATCCCTGAGTGCCCTAAGTGTAAAGATAAACAAGAATGTATTGATAATTTGAAGAACAAAATAATATCCTTAGAAAATTGTAATAAAATATTGAAAAATAGAGAAAAGAAAGATTTTAGAATGTTTGCTCAGCGACAAAGAAGGTGGACGACATTTAGAAAGAAATTTGTATCGGAAATTCAGAAATTAAAATCCCAAACGGCGAAATTTAGGAAAAAACAGAACAGATCGGAGAATTTGGAAAAACGTCTAAAGCATATTTTTACAAAGACGCAGATTAATGCATTGCTAGAAAAGAAGGAAAAAATCCGGTGGACTAGTGAAGATATTTCATGTTGCATTGTCATAAGAGCTCTGTCATCTAAAAGCTACGATTTTTGGAAAGAAAAAATGGAAATTCCTTTACCTAGCACTAGCACATTAAAGAGATGGTGCGCTAAATTTTCATGTAGTCCAGGAATTCAGAGTGATGTTCTTGCTGTAATGAAGGAAAGATGCCAATATTTGAATTCTGTAGAAAAAATATGCATTCTCAGTTTCGACGAAATGCACATAGATTCTAAACTCTGCTATGACTCTAAACTGGACCAAAATCGGTCTTTTTCAAAAAGTGCAGTTTGTTTTAATCAGAGGTCTCATTTCGCAGTGGAAACAACCAATATTTTTTTATTTTAACACTCCAATGAAGAAAGAACTTCTTTTTTCACTCATAAGACATATTCAATCATCTAGAGTAGAAGTGAAAGCAATAGTGTCTGATTTAAGAGGATCTACTACTTTGTGGAAAGAGTTACAGATTTCGATTAATAGTTCTCATTTTCCAATCCAGTATTCCAAATGAAAAAAATATGGTTTTTTGCAGATTTAGCGCACTGTCTCAAATTACTGAGTGTTGGTGTATTTAATTATGACAAAGCACACTAGGGCTATCTGCCTAAGGGAAGGGATGCCTTCGTGGAGGACTTTCTAAGGGAAACTGGCTCGTATACACGTTACACATGGGGAAAACCACGAAAACGCCCATGCAGCCAGCCCGTTCGCGGGATTCGAACCTCGGACTGAACTACCAGTGTTCAGCGACTTTACCGCTCGGCCTCTGGTGGGCTCAAACTGAGAAACCACTTTTTAGATAAAGGATTTGTTTGAAGATGGAACTGTTTTAAATGTTTTATTATTAAAGAGATTAAATTGTGCACAAACTAAAACCAAATTATTTAATGGTCAAGGGAAACGAGAGACAAAAAGTAAGTATATAATATTTTTTGATTTGAAATATTTCTAGATTGCATTTTAGAAGTTAATAGTGTAAAGCATTTTCAAATGAGAACTAATTCTGTTAAGTTATTGGTACGTTTTTTTATTGTATCCTCTGTTATTATTGATTCGATTTTGTGCTAGCTTAGCATTCTGGATAAAATATTAAAAGTATAATATTAAAGTAATTGGCATAAATATTTATAAAGTATATATTAAAGTAACTGCCCCCTTAACCCCCACTTTTGAAAAATTAAATAATTATTTTAGGTACTGTGAATAAATTGTTTTGGTCTAAATTAAGATAACAATCTTACATATTTTATTTAAATGAAATATTGATGTAAGCCTAAGTTACAAAATTATGTTAAAAAAATATATGTTATTATAATGAATCGGATAAAAATATGCTAATGTAAAATTTACAATTAGGCTGAAAACTCAAACTTAGATTAGCAGAAATTTTTGCCATATATAAACCTATACACGTATATATAATTATGCCAATTTTTAAGGTTATTTTTTTTGATTAATTTTAAATAGCTGTTATTATAGTTATCTTAGCAGTAGTACAGTTCTCTTAGTTTAACATGCAGATAAAGAAATGATTAGAAACAAACAGGCATTTAAAGGAAAAAAAAAAAAAAAAAAAAAATCCCTGCAATAAAAAAAGGAACTTTAATATGCTAGAGTAGTGGCATTTTTATCTATTATTTTAAAATTGAGTAAGTACTATTGAATTTTTTAATGTTCAGTGTAAAATGCATACTGCAGTAACATTGTCTCTTCTAAATTATAGCTATCTTTCACACACAGCTCATTTTAAACGCTGATTCTTCAAATTTAAAACGTTAATTTCTATGTTGTCAATTGCATCTCCGCGCTCAGTGCCATCATTGCTATGTCATCACTCCTCACTGCCTGTTTCAGGGGGAAACGCTCTATGAGCTAGCCCTTCTCTTTAGTCCTGGGCTAAAGTGATCTCTGTTTTGTTTTGAAGGCAGTAAAACACATAACCTTTGGCTTTCTGGCATAAAGCCTCTTGCATACAGTATTACTATGTTATAGCAGTTCAAGTGTGGCTTCAGACACTGAAGTTAACTGCTGAGAAGTAGATTTACTGTTATGATGGGGAATTATTACTAGATCTCGATCTTGAGGCAGTTATATGTTTATAACCTTGTCCAGACCTTACACAACAGTTCCAGAGTTCTGAAATTGTTCCCATAACATACAGGAAATATTCACACATATCACTGCTTCCGTGAATGTCTGCCATGCTTCGAAATGGCTGATGATTTGTCACCTCATGGATTCTTTGATATTCTCTGTGTGCGAAGTGCTCGATTCATCATTAAATGACGTAACATCTTGATTTGCATGTCAGAAGTCATTTGAATTTTTGATAAGGATTTGATTTAATAATACTTGGCTTGCCTTTCATTTACATTTTCTGCAAAAATGTGTTATGTTTAT